AATTTTGTTGTGTACCCAAAAACTTCGTTGAAAATATCTATGCTCTAGGACATCAAAGTTTAACACAAAATAGACTTACTGGTGTTTATTCGATACACGTCTAAAAAATTAACTGATTACTGGGGCTGACAACTCTAAAGTCCAGGGATGGGGGTGTTTTGATTGTAAAACTTTGATTGTGTCTACGATTTGAGTAAATGAAATCTCCCTGACTTTTCCCTGACAGCAATTAAATTTTTCCTCATTCCGTACAGCCAACCATTTCCGCCTTTGTCTTTACCATCTGCAATTGTCTAACTCTTTATTGATGTGTATTAGTTATGTTGTGTTTGATTGTTTCTTTGAATTAATTTTCTACCTTACAGTCTTTTCACACTGCAATTGTATTATTCTTTATTTCTCTACTTTAGTTTTCCTTCATTTTTTTCTACATACATACATGTATAATTTTTATAAATGTCATGTATACCGATGGATATGCTTGAAATTAAATGCATGCCAAAACAGACAAAATACAAGCTAACCTAATAAGATTTTCTTTATCTCTTCATAAGTTTTTAAAAACTCGATTTTGTTTGAAAAAATGTTTTAAAAGTAATATACTTTTACATAAGGAATAATACAAAAATACGAGTATATATATCTTCAAATCGAAAAAAGAAAATTATCAAATTTAAAATGTTGCCTACTACCGGATAAATATAAACTAATATTTAAATGGTACAATATTACAATATTAAGTGGTGTTGCAAGAACTGTGGCCTTATCTCTGACATATAATAAGAAAACATTTAGGCCTACACACATGTAGTCATATGTCCTCTTCATGTTCACCCATGTCAATAATATGCATGCAAAGAATTTGACTTATATCAATTAGTTTGTTCTTACAGCTTAGATAGTTATTAAAATTCAAAATGAGACTGTGAAAGCACGAACGATTCGCGTGTGTAGTAATAGCCAAAGTGAATTTGTATACAAAATTATTTAATTTTTTATTACATTCCACTACACCATGCTTTAGAGGAAATGTTTGGAAGGACTATAATTAATAATATTCTTAAAGGAAGAAAAACAACTAGGTTATTCGTCGGCAATACTACTTACGTGATTTATCTTTTCTTTTAAGCTCCTTATTTAAAATTATAACAAACAAGAAATAATTAAGACATATAATTCTTTGAAAGTATACATACATTACACGATTTTAGTTTGTTAGTATATTTATATATAAAAAGGAAGTTAAATAACATCAAACTATTTAAATAAGCCACTATTGATCTGGAATATAGAACACAGAAAAGCGATTCCTTTAAGAAGGGCAAAACGGGGAAAATAAAAATGGTGCTAGCTCGGTTTATGAGTCAAACACCATTATTTTAGAAATAACAAACATGTGTTTAGAGGAAATGTGGCCTTTACAAAGAGACCTGTTTCTTGTAAGAATTTTGATAATATTACCTCTAAATACTAGCCAGGTAAATATGTTTTCAATCCAATGTTTAGCAAATTATGGATATGACAAAAACATACAATAACCGGTTATGTGCTTTGTATCATGGAAGAAAACAAGTTCGTTTGAAAAAGTAAAAAATATGTCGTAATCTGAACTTGTATAGTTTTCAATTATTTTTAGCGTCGTATGGTTTACTCTCGAACAATACGTTTTGTAAAGAATTAAAAGCTTAACGTGCTGTGAAAAATGTTTAATAATGTAATACAATAATAACGTTTTTAAGGCTTACAGACTATGTACAGAGGAAGGTCGTTTTAATATTTTAGATTTATAAGATAGATTATGGATTATTTGCATTTGGCAATTTATTGAAAATGAGTATCAATTCTTAGCATGCCGATTGTTTTCTGATTTAGATAACTTTATTACCATGACATTCTTGTACATTGCCGAATTAAATACAACATTATTATCAAATTGTCACAAAAAACTGTAATAAAAAATTATATATATATATATATATATATATATACTCAGCAAAAATAGAAACCTGACAGTGTATATATATTTTATTAATATTTTCAGGAAATCGATGACGGAAATGTAAAAACGAATGTTGGGCATGAAAAAGAAATGCATGCACAACATTGATATACATTTTGTTGTTTATTCATTATGTTTAAGTTTGTTAAATTACGCTAGTTCTAAGGATAGGGTCAAATTAAATTTATCCATTTTGTGGCTTTAACGTTTTGACTACGTGCAGATAGGTTTTAATCATTTCATTAACAGTTTTATAATGCATGTGATTTTTTTACATTTAATTCAATATCGCTTGTGGCCACCTCTGGCTCTAAGTAGTGCGTCAACGCGTCGACGCAAAGAATTGACGAAACGTTGAACAAGGTTATTTGGAAGATTGTTCCATTCCGCTATCAATGCATTTGTCAGTTGGAGGATATTCGGTGGGGCGTGACGATCATGCTGTCTAACACAGACAGGTGCAAACCTTTCGCCCTTTCGACGTTAAATTCTTACACGGCCGTCGGCATGACTGAGATTGTAACAAGACTCGTCTGAAAACAGGACAGTATTCCAGTCGCCGCCAGTGACGGTGCGCACGTGCCCACCTAATTCGGACATGAAGATGGCGTAAAGTGAAATACCGTCTGTATATGGACGTCGCGATCTAATCGGGCGTTGTTGTGCGCGCAACCGATTGCGAATGGTTTGTGCAGTTACGTTGCAGTTACGTTGAACGTGGGCGCAGTCAAGGTCGCCGGTCTGAACCTGTCACGTAAGCTAATTAAAACAATTGCACGGTCGTCCCTTTTGGTAGTTGCCCTTGGCCTACCTGGCCTTGGACGATTGTGCAAATCACCTGTAAGTCTATAGCGTCTTACAAGTTCATTAACTGTGTTGCGACTGCAGTTAAACGTTCTACTCACGTCAACAACAGATGCCCCACCCAGCAGCATTCCTATTGCTTGATTTCTCTCTGCTTCTGATAAACGTGGCATTGTGAAAGCTATCAACTTTAGGTGTGAATAACACTAAATTGTTACTGAACACATGTATAGTGCCTTACATCACTGTCTATCTGACATCGTTTAGCATGCACGGGGTTCACGTGCAAAAACTAAAATTTTACGCTTAGCTGCATTCTACTGACAATACGCGGTAAAAACAAAAACACATGTAAAGTGTATCTAAGTATTGTCCAACAATATTGACCTGGCACTTCATTAATTTCCGTAAAGGTCAGGTGATAAACAGTGGTATCTAACGAATATATCGACATCTTTATTAACTTCACACGTCAATGAGTTGTGGTGTATTGGTATAAATGCCTGACTACTGATCTGAAGTTCCCTGCTTCGATACCTTACCAACACCACGTTATGAGGACATACATTTTTTTATTTCATTTTGAAAATAACTTGCAAGAATTAATTTCAAATCGTTTTACTACATCTGGTTTTTAGGATACCTTTTAAGTAGTGTTTTTATACAATATTATTTTTTATTTTATTACATTATCTTTAATTAGTAAAAAGGACAGCACGTCCATAATACAAATTAAAATTCGTACACAACCAAAACTCAAAACGTTTTGCACGAGTTAAGAGAGAAATAGCAATTTTAAAATAAGAAAAAAAATATTAAAGTGGCTGAGCCAGGATTCGAACCTACGAGTGTGCGACTATATTCTTGAAGTGAAAGCACTTTACGACTGTGCTAAGAGGGTTTTGTAATTTAGATCATTTAACAACTGGTTATATTCATTCATGTCGATTTACAATAGATAGTAACGTTTACGGAATTTACCGGCTATGGGGTCAAATGCAAGAGTGCCAGGTCAATATTGTTGGACAATATCTATAGTATTGTTTTATTTTATTAACCTGTCAATTCCATACTCATTATACGGTCAATGCACAAAATATATTAATATTCGATAAATGTTCGGTAAATTCCGTGAGAGGTACGCATTAAGATGTGATTAAATTCATCTAGTTTCTATGAATTAGTTACACTGACCGTTATAGCGCAATAGGGTAAACCACGGGTATATAATATCAAAATGTCCTACATCATGTAAGATCGAGACAGTGTATGTCCATGTTTTTTTTTTCTTATTAATAACCATTTTCAAAATTTTGAAGTTATGGTTGTTCTGTTTTTAATATGTTTTGTACTCTTTTATAAATACTATATTTTTGTACATAATTGATACTGAAAATTCATTCAGATTATAATCAATAAATGTAATTTCAGTGCCGTAAAATACAATACAAAATGTGACAATTCAGTGTTTCTTAGTTGTTTCATTCCGTGTAGACAATTTTGCAAGCGCTTGACAATTTTCTTTAAAATATACCTAAAATAAAGAGGGAATAAGTCTAAAAAGAATGTCAAAAAAGGGATCGAACCTCGGACCTCTCATACATTAGGTAATTACTTAACCGACTGTGCTATTGCGGATGTTACGAGAACCTTCATTAAGTTAGTGGGAGTTTTCCAAACGTTAGTGATATACTCCATATTAATTCTCGTAAAATAAACGGACAAAACCGAAGTGGGATCGAATATTTAAATGAGTGCTATAATGTATTCATTATTGACAGGTCAATAAAATCAGACTTTACATGAATACTCACTACAATTTTTTTATTTAAATCACAAATTAGAAAATATTTAAAAGAAATAAAGTGTCAGGTTTCTATATTTGTTGAATATATAATAAAAATGCTTTGTAATTAATCTCTCAGGCCTATCAGGAATTTAATCGTGCATTATTGTTTAGAAAAATACATTTAAAATTGATATATAAATTTCCTAATCAAAACACTAGAATACAGTGTCTTGTATCATATGTATTTTCGGACTATTATTACCCCTATTTTTGTTTTAAAGTAAATGACTATTATAATATAAGTGCTTGCAATTTTATCATTGTGTTACAAATGTAAATGAAGGATAACAGTCGAATACATCATCTTCGAGGTTTTAATATTACTTGGCAAATAATTACAAACAATGATCTAATTCCGGTTATATTCTTCTGTATATTAGCGAACAATATTGTCATAATTTTAACTGTTGTCGTGTATTTTTCATGTAATGTTATAAAAGGTATTAAGGAATGCACACTTAGGCTTATAATTTGCTGAAAACTGGAGATATCACTCAAAATATCCCTCTTTGGAATGTTCGGTTCTGAAATAATTTTCTTATGTATGTTGCAGTCATTGATAATCAATATTGACAGGAGTTTTCACATCTCGCTGATGGGTTGCCTTAAATGGTCGAGGCAGCCACCGTTTATTCCTGCTTGATTGTACGAGGCGATTAAAATGATTAAATAACTGGAGTCTATGCATCTCTTAGCTCCGGCAGGTGTGCAGGTTTTGGTGATTGTAACAATCGAGGTTAGTTAGAAGCATCTTTCCTGTTCCGGCGGAATATGACCTATTCTGCGTTGGTTTACCGTTAACCAAGAAAAAAAAATGTACGCGTATGTACATAAAATTTAGTGATAATGTCTTCATGTTCTTTAGGCTGATATAATATATTTTTACATGTATACAAAACAGTGTACATAACTATAATTTGTCTTTCCCTTTAACATTCTTAAACTTATAAAGTAATTCAACAACAAAGCAGAAATAAGATAAAGCGTTTTACTTCATCAAAATTCCAAAACGTTTGACTTATTCCTAAGGAATACATTTTTATTTTTCTCCAATAAAAAAGATAAATAATTCATTTAATATTCCAGTGATTTATGCAGACAACCGACCTTTAACAGTTTTTTGTACGCATTGATGTTTCGATTTTGCATGCATAACAGTAACATATATGTCGAAAGATCTAACAGTAATTGTGAGAAAAAAGCAGAAACAAAAACCGCAATTAAAAAGAGCTAAACATTTTGTCAATTAACACAATCATCCGTTAACATGGAATACATTGGCAAACAAATAAATACTAATACAACATGTCCAGATGAATGTTTAAATATACAAATACTTAATGCAAACACAACATTTTGTGCCGTTTTGAAAAGCAATATCGATAAATAAATTGCTTCCAAAATCACTGTGTTATATGAATTTAAAAAATTATAATGATTATCTACAATTTTTAATCTAAACTTTCTTTTCATTTTTTTTCCAGAATTACTTTTTTTATTGAAACTCAAAGTGTGTTCATAACAATTGTAATATATTCATACTTCCATATTATCACTATGAATTATTATAAATGTAACTTAACAATTGACAACTTTAGTAAATATGCCATTGAAAACCTGTTTAATTTATACACATTTTTTACAAAATCTGACGAGAACATTATGTTTCCTCTGGTCCTAACAATCTAGGAAGATCTTCCAACTTTATTTCAGGAACAGCGCATGGTACATCGATCCATTTCTTGTAGGTACTCACACCATGTGTTCGCAAATTCCTAAACTTGAAATTGATGATCTTTAGGATCATGCAGTCTAAGCCATCTCTCAGTCCAATTATACCCCAGTCTATTGGGCATTTCTTGCAATACATCTTGTATTTTTTGTGTAGGCCGTCATATGTTTTCGGCTTCTTGTGTTCTTTTCTTGTAATCTTGTCAGCGAAATCTTTATCAATTACGATATGATCATGTCCAAGCTGCCTTACATCAGAGACATAACAAGCAAAAGTGTTGCATCTTCCACACAAAATTGCGTAATCTTCATCAGACTTCCTTCCCTTTTTCAATTTCTCAACTTCTGCTTTAAATCTGTATTTATGCGTTTCTTCACTTTGGAAGGCATTGACTTTCATATTGATGAATTTTGGATCCAACTGTTTTACAGTATTCATGGCCCTATACATCATTGCAGCTTTGTATGTATTGATCATTTCTTGCTCTACTACTTTATCACTTCCCATAGTGATTGTTGTCGCTTTTTTCTTACGAGCACGACCTGAATAATAATGTTATTGATGAAACAAATAATATGCTGACTTTAACGGTTCTCATATATGTCCATTAAAAATTTTGAATGAAGCATGAATAAGTTTTTTTGACACGATAAATAACGTTTAAATATCACCGATACATGCCTTAAAGACTTAACAGGGCGACACTAGTTTGTTTAAGAACAACTTGCTGATTTATCAATAAGGTGGTAATAGTTTCGATACAAATGTTTACGTTGAAATCTCGATTTTATTGGTCAAATCATTATTTTTCTAGGAGAAAGTTCAATACCTTTCATTTGTATTTTTGTTATTTCATCTCCGGAATACTCGTAACTAAGAACAATATTACAATCAGGAACATCTATACCCTCATTCCCAACAGATGTGCATACTAGTACTTTGAAGAATCCACTGCGAAACTTGTCTAATATCTCTGTTTGTTGACTTTCTGTCATTCCTGTTTACAATAATGAAAATCATATAATCAGGAACAAATAACACATTGCCGTTAATATAAAGAATCAACTAGGAAGGGGTATGGTAAGTCAAGTTAGATATCAAATATATTGACCACGTGTTAATGTGCTTATTTGAAATGAATTAAGAATTATTATTTTCAACCGCTGTTACAGTAGTGCTTTGCATTAATAATAGAAAGTTAAAATTGTCATACCGTCATCTCCACCACGATTTTCCTTTCCATATAATGGACTCGCTTTTACTCCACTACTCTGGAGATCCCTGTCCAAAAATGCAGCAAGAGATCTGCAAGTAGCTCTTGCTTTCACAAAAACCATGGCCCTTGAGTCGTCCCCTTTGTCATCAAGCATCTTCCGTAAGGTGTCGCTCAAAATCCTCACATTTGGATTTTCGGTGTTTTTCCCTTTAACGTTAATTGTTTTCTGCACATCTGACAATTAAAATAGGTGAAATCAATAGTTATTTCTTTTTAGGATTTTGAAGATGAACAGTTATATTTTTTCCCCCAAAAAAAAACTTTTTTTATTTTTTATTGGTTTTTTAATTTTTTTAGCATAGATAATGCCGATCATTTTCTATTCTTTTATATGCAAAAATTTAAAAGTGATATTTGTATATACTCGTGATAAATTCGTAACAACAACAATAGATAACTATCAATCATTATATTTAACAATAAAACGATACACCTACTTTGCAGATTTTTGAACAGCTTTTTTTCCATCTCAGTTAGTTTGTCTTTGTTTTCCCCTTCAAGTCTGTGTTTTTCAGCCAAATACTTAATGACATCTCTCGAAAGCAAGAGTTTGTTAACCTCTAGGGCCGAGTTGTAAATCTGATCGATTTAAGAAAAAACATATTATATCATTTTTAATTACATTTGTGCTTATTCCATCTATTATACTATAGAATATGAGAGTATGAGGGTCACGATGGCCATGAATCGCTCATCTGAGATACATTGTTAGAAGCGGTCACGCTATTATAATCTAAAGTCAGTAATGGGGTCTAATAGGGTTTGTCATCTTATCAAGGCTGTATAATTATTTGAAATATCTGAAGATATCTATTACCAAATGCTGTATGACAAATATCTAAGTTCTTGGACAATATGACATAACTCAATGAGTTTGACTCTGTAAGCACATATAAACCACCATTGCAAGAACAAGCTTGCACTCCTGTCAAGGTGATTCTACTTGCCAAATGATAAGAAAACTTTTTAACACATGTTTACTATATAAATCTATGTAAAGTAATTGACTCTGCACTTCATTTACCTAGTAACTATCACCGAGTGAAATTTCATTGAAATTCCTTCAATACTTAAAAGTAATTCTGAGGACAAACATCATTAAAGATTACAAAGGGACATAATTCAAAAACTAAGTAATGTAGAGTTATTTATCTTTGACACTGCACTTTCCATCCCTAGTCTCTACAACTGTTTGAAATTTGAATCAGATATAAATAATAGTTTAGATGTTTTGCACGGGTAAAGCATTATTTAACAGTTTCAAGTTTCATAAACGGAGCATCAAGCAAGGTAGAATAATGTGTTTTCACACTTCACGTCATTTCACCGATATCTGTCAGTGTGTGAAGTTTGTTCAAATACCATTCTCAGGACAAAGGAAGCTAATTTTAAAACTGATCAAAGTAGAGTTATGGTTCTTTTACACTTCCTACTTTGAGTTTTTAAAACAGTGTGTAGCTTCAATACGATATGATTAAAACTAAGTTTTAAAGAGGTATGGTTATTTGACACTGCACTTTTTTCAAGTCGTAGTATCAATGAGGAATCATAGATAGTTTAGAAATTATACTCGAAGCATATTAATATGCCGTTATTGTAAATGAATACATTAATAAGTTTTCAGACAATTATAAAAATACCATTATATACTTAAGGACTCTTGAAATAGCACACCAGTTGACACAAATGTCTCTAATTTAGACAGTTTACTACAGAAAAATATAAGTTTTACAACGATCAATATGACAAAATTGCGGCGTGTGCGACTAATTGGGCTAAATAAAAACGCGAAGCTTATCTCCAGGTGTTTGTCGCTTTTTACTATGTCCAAGATCCGCCATTAACTGTGACATGGACGATAAGCCCACACACTGCCACTTTTACTTGTCACATAGTCTTCATGTTATCATCATTTGATTAAAATTTCATGAAAATAAGATTATGAAAAACTAGTAGTCAATAAGTATTCAATTACTTTTCTTAACCTTTACCCGACACAGATGCCTTGCTTGTTTTGATCTAAGATTTGACTAAATGCTCATAAAAAGATATAGCATGTCATGGGCTTCACAAATCCGCTTATGTAAGAGAAAGGCAATCCCAGCATGAATATCTACACTTACTTTATGCCAGAAATGACCTAAAACACATACTGGTACCGTAAATATGTTAAGTTGAAATGTTGGGTTGTTAAGGTTCACATTTCCTTATTTTACTGCTACTGAAGCATTGTTAGGGAACACAAACTAACGATCTTTCAAACCAGCTAAAAACATTGTCTTGTTCTATATCTAAGGATGATAAAATGCAAATATTTTCAACCGGATATGATGAAATTTTAAAGTAATTAATTAATTGATTTATGTACACTTTCCCATTATATGATATATATATATACACCTAAATTTTTTTCCAGAAACTTACATTCAAGTATTTTGCACAACTACTTATATCTCTGGACACATCATAGTCATCCACCTTCAAAAGTGCAGCTCTCATTACATCAACTGTCCATTTATTGTATTCTTGAGACTCTCGGTCACGTGGCTGCGTGTCCATAAGATCAATCATATCAGGTTGCATCAATGAATTGTCTAAAAATTAAAAACATGTTTGATCATATTTTTAGCCTCTTTGTGTGTCACATATATTATACTACACGTTTGTAACGTCCGTTTTCATTGGTGAATTGCGACGTTTATAAAAGTTTTTTTTTATAATACTGTTGCTGTGAATTTGTGAAGAAATCTAACTTTCTTTAAAAATTCGTTATAAATATTCCTGACATGTTATATGGCCATATTTTAATGGTTGTTTGCAGTTCGGATTATATTTTCAAAGCTTCGTATATATGGGGCCATGTAACTAGTTAAATATCTTTATAACTAATAGTTTACACGTATCACAAGTAGAACTTTTTTGTTAGACTAGAGAAAAACCTTTAAAATTTTACACCGGAAGTGTAAAGGAATTCAATAAGATCAAGTCGACTACAGTGACAATTTAGAGCTCCCTTAACAAGAAGTCTTTCTTGCTGTTCAAACTTTATGACAGCATTTATATTGCACATATCATTTAATATGCTGTAAAAAGTAAAAATTATTACGAAAAAAATCCCTTGAATATATAGGAGGTAAGATTGTGTTTTCACAATCTAATAGTTAACTCCTGAAAGAGTCTTTACATAGGACGTTTCTGTTAATTAAACTCATGCATACAGTACGTAAAGTAAACAAAATGTCCCGAAATAAAATATTATGTTGCTATTTGAAGAAGCTGATAAGGAAGTATACAAATATATCATTTCATGAAGGTATTTTGAAAGCATTCATGTACAAAAATAAAACGTTTATTTTTCAAAGTACAGACATACTACTATACATATGTCTAGCTTTATCCGAGAACAAACGATTGCTTATAAAATTTATACCTTGCAACATATCTTCAGTTTCTTCCATTGCAGTCAATATAAAATGTTTACAAGGGTCATCTTTCTGCTTTACAAGCTGTATTGTTTCTATAAAATCATCAAAATGGCATTTTGTGGGTATAAATTAGCTATAATGCATCTAAAAACAAGTTGTAAAGTATAAAATTATTAATATGATGATTGTTTATTCATATCAAACATTTCAATGATTAAGATGACATTTTAGAAATAGTCTTTAAAAACATAACACTAAATTATTTTAATAAAATTTAAGGATATCCTAACAAAGTCTAACAGGGAAGTCATTGATAACATTATGTCTTTCTAAAAATTAAAATAATATGTAAATTTTATTTAGGTGATTATAAACTGTTCTTGAAATACGATCAATTCTTATCTTTTCTCTGAAAAACAGATGTCCCTGTTTCATTCATTGCAATGAACCTCATCAACGGATCATTAATAATATTTAATTACTGCCTAAACATGTTGGTCTGTGCAGGTTTATCATGTATATTAATTGTTTTCTTAAATAAACTTCATGCATTACATCTGTAGAGAATATTTCTTGAAGTTTAAAAACAAATAAACACATATATACCTTCATCAGGAATGCTGACATGTTTCTTTAATTCTTTAAAATTTCTTTCTACCGTTGAAATTATTCTCACGTCCAGACAAGAACATACCCTCAGAATGTAATCAACCGATTCCTGATCTGTTCGAGATTTGCCCACGCCAATAGAGGCTGTCAGACCTACTACCTAAAGTTAACAAAAAGACAAACCAAGTATATTCTTTTACGCAGAAAAAGAAAATGTTTAGACATAGTTATGAAATTTGCTAAAACAACAATAAAATCTTCAATAAAGTAAAGAACAAATATGTAACTATTTATACTTTAATTTTAAAGTTCATTATAATGTGCAAATGTTTAAGAGGTTGAATGTACATCAGTCGACAAATTATCAAGTAACCTGTGGCATTTCTTTTTTTGTTTTGGATTTTTCCACTAGATATTTTCTCATTAGCGTACTGTAAGGCCCATCTCCTCTCGTATGGTGGCATTCGTCAAGTATCAACAAGGAAAATTCTGACAAGCTTTTTATGACGTTGTCTTCTAGATTATTTACTAGAATTTGAGGTGTGAAACATAGTATGTCGTAATTTTCTAAAAACATGTTTAACATCCTTGATTGGTCATCTTCTCCGGTTATTAAACGGGTCTGCAAAATAAACATAATTAGTGAAGCTATTAATTTTATAACATGATGCCAGAAGGAATGATCTAAAACTCTTTAACCTGAGAAATACAGTAAATTCCGCTCATAACAAACTCATTGGGACATTCGAATTCTGTTCCTAATATCCGGAGGTCCTTGTAAGCATATAGCGTCCTCCATTTGAAGAGCATTTGAGCCGCGTCACGACAAAACCAACATAATGGGTTTGCGACCAGCATGGATCCAGACTAGCCTGCGCATCCGCGCAGTCTGATCAGGATCCATGCTGTTCGCTATCAGTTTCTCTACTTGTAAAAGGGTTAGTAAGCGAACAGCATGGATCCTGATCAGACTGCGCAGATGCGCAGGCTAGTCTGAATCCATACTTGTCGCAAACGAACTATGTTGGTTTTGTCGTGACGCGGCTCATTTGTTTAAGAATGATAATTCATTTATTTCTTTTTTAGACACGAAACCCGAGAGTATAGTTTTTGGAATTTGAAAATCCTTTGCTATTTCAGTTTATGTTTTACCCTCTTTTTCAATTTCTCAGTAAATATCATATTTTGTTCTAAACCAAGTGCTTTTCGTGTTCTGATTATGATTTAGAATAAACAAGATTTTCGATTTTTCCTTCCTTTTATATTGAATATCTTCTATAATATTTTAAGGGTGACCATTAATTATGAAATATAAAGATTTCTTTTATTTTTATCAAGCGTACTTTGGATTAGCAAGGCGAAGCATAAGTGATTATGTTGAAAAACGATTATAAATGATCATAATTATTTGACTCGAGCAAAACTATTAAAGAAAAAAAACATTTGAATAAAAAGAATAACCGTTTTATCTTGTTGACAAGAAAACTCATGCTAAAACTATCCTAAATAGAAAACATTATATACTGCTATACAAATTCATTTTCACAGGTGTATTGAAGTACATACAACAATCATTCGGACGAGTTTTAATCCGTGCAAATTAAAACGAAAGTTGAAAATGCGGATAGACGATATTTTTGAGTTCGTTATAAAAGTGTTATTTTCTGTACTTTTTAACTCAATTGCGACAAAGAAAATTGAGTTCATTATAAGCGATAATTCCTTATAACTGTGTTCGCTATAACCCTATATTTATATTAAAAAAGAAGGGCAAAATTCGGGCCAAACTATTGTTCGTTATAACCGGAAGTTCGCAAAAACCGTGTTCGCTATAAGTGAAGTTTACTGTAAATGATTTTATTTTTGACTAATGTAAA